CTGTTTTATTTATTTTACTTATTTCTTCCTATTTTGAAAATAGTTATTTTTTTGGCTTATTCCTTTAAAATTTTTTGGATTTCTTTATTTTCATTTATGTGTATGACTGTTTTACTTTCATGTATGTAAGTGTACCACATGTGTACAATGCCAGAGGATGGTGTCAGATCTCCTGGAACTGGAGTTATAAACAGTTGTTAGCAGTCAAATCTGGGTGTTGGGAACTGAACCCAGGTCCTCCTGAAAAGCAGCCAGTGTTCTTAACTGCTGAGCAATCTCTACAGCTCCAACAGCATCCCTTATAAACTAGTTCTGGAGTCACTCCTAACCTTTCTAGCCTGAGCTGGGAATTCTATCCTTCGCATCTCCACTGGACCCCCTTCCTCTCCATTGTTATACCTACCATGCTGTGTTTCATCTATTTCATGAGTAATTGGGGACTGGTGTAAGTGACTTGAGGACTGAGACAATGTTTTTCATAATACGGTGCATGGACCACAGTTGATATTTGATTAAAAAAAATTCCTGGGGCTGGAGAGATGGCTTAGCAGTAAAGAGCACTGACTGCTCTTGCAGAGGACCCGATTCCCAGCACCCACATGGCAGCTACGAATCGTCCTTAACTCCAGTTCCAGGGGAATCCGAAGTTCTCTTCTGACCTCCATGGCATTGCATGACACGGGTGCTCTCACATACATGCAGGCAATACACTCATACACATAAAAATAAAAATAATAAAATATTTTAAAAATTCCTTGAATTGATTTCTAAATGGATTTAGTTTTTCAAAATATGTTTTGGTTTCCTTCGACACTAGATAACCTTCTAAATCAATGCATTTTGCCAACTTCCATCATTTCTGTTGATCTTGTTTCTTTTTAATTCTTTTGTAAATTTTTTATTGAATTTTTGTGTATTTCATACAGAACATCTTAATCATCTTTATACCCCCTTCCCCACTGGCTCCCTCCCATAGCCTGCCCTGCCACTGGAACTGATGCATTCTGTCATTTGTGTAAGGCCTATCGAGTCAAGTTAGTATCCCCAGATGTCTCTCAGTGCAAGTTCATCCACTGAGGTCTAGTCAGCCTATCTAGAATCCCTCCCTTTAAGAAGATCGGCTCTTCCTCACACAGCAATAATCAGCTGCTGATAATTCTTTGAGTAAGATTGGGGCCTGCTGCCAAATTCCACATTTCTAGGCTGGGTTTTTGTCTACTTGAGATTGCATGGTTTTTGTGCGTGCTGACACCATTGCTGTAAGTTCATATGAGCAAGGTCCCAGGAGCCTGTAGGACTCTATTTCCATATGGTCATGCACCTCTTCCCTGGCTTTTACAATCTTTCTGTCCCTTCTTTCACAATGGTCCCTGAGTCCTGGGTGGGTGGAGTTTAATATAGAAGTCCTGTTCAAGGACCCACACTCTGTAGACTCTTACTCTCTATGTTTTGGGCATTTGTGTGTGACCTTTTGTGTTCCTGGTCCTCTGTTGTGTGAGGAAACTTCATTGATGATACTTGAGAGATGTATTAGTGTTCTCTTTACTCCTTAACTTGTTTTTTTTTTTAAGCCTGACCAGTAAAATATTAAATCAAGAAAACATTTACCTTTCAAAACAACTTTATGAAATAAATATCCTTGGCCCTGTTTTATGGGTAAGGAACCCCACACAGTGAAAGTGACAGCACTCTTAGGATTTAGGCCTGTCAGATACCATGTCCAGACCTAACCTCCACCTACTATTGCTCTTCATAACTGCCTTGTACTTACTTGGCAGAGGAACAGGTTTTTGATGAACAGGTCTGAAAGGAAGAATTGCACATTAAGTAAAAGGCAAAGCACAGTAAGATGTAGATAATGCTCTGAACAGGTGTATTTTACAAAGGATCAACACGGATGGCTAATGAGATACATCTAAAGATGGGAGGGGTAACAAAACTTTGAGAAAACTAAGATTATTCCCTTTAGTTTTGAAAGCAGAGGAACCTTGACTGAAGTGTTGTATTTTAGCTAAGATCAATAACTAACTTGAAGAGTATGTTTCTGAAATTCTACAGCTTCTTAGGTTGTTTAACACCTTTTAAGATTTAATTACAAAGCAATGAAACATTGGTTCCTTAGCACTACAAACCATTGTCACCTTGCACAACAGACAGTGGGGAATTCAGATGTTAATTCTCATAGCAACAGGAAGAAAATTTTTTATAAACTCACGTTCAGTTTACTGTGGACACAGAGGCTTACACACAGAAATACTTACAGAAACATATTTATGTGAGTTAGTGTACACAGATACATAGACTTTTGCTTTGCTTTTAAAGATAAGGCTTCTGCTACATGAGGTGGTTCATGCTCTGTTATCCCAGTATTCTGGAGACTAAGGCAGGAGAAGAATCCTGAGTTCCAGGCTAGCCTGGCTACATATATAATGAGTGAGTTCCAGGCCAGCCTGGGCTACAGAGTGAACCTCTGCTTCAAAAAAAGGAAAGTATTAAATAA